TATTATTATTATTATTATTATTATTATTATTATTATTATTATTATTATTATTATTACTATTATCATCAATATTCTGCACTTCTTTATTCACTTATTTTTTTTCACTTGTTCTATAATTTCTTCTTCAAATGCACATCTCCAATATGACATACAAGTACATATTCTCTCTTCCCATTTATAGATGTAATTCTGTACACCGTACTTGGTTACACATCTATAAATATTATATCTTATTCAATACACCAAGCACGAAACACAATTTCTCGTCCTTGTATTTCGTGTGCAAAACGGATTACTTTTTCATTTTAATGGACTGCGAAACATTTCGACGCGTGCGCGAATCACCGCGAATCGTTGGCCAAACATTTTTGTCAAAGGGCACGTTAAAACTAGTACCTGCTACACCTACATGAGGTTATTTGAGCACTTGTTACGTAACTTACGTATTATACACATGTCGTAAGGCTTATAGTTTTTCTTTATATGAATGGTTTACATTCACGTACATCTTTGTTAAAAAAAATATTTTCATGTTTCTCTTCATGACAATGTGTATTGTAATGAGATAGTTTATTTAACTAACTTCCACTAATTAATTTTGTATTTTATTCTGCCCCAGGTTGGGCACTAATTTGTGATGGTTGACGAATTTACGAAAATTATTTGACTACTTATGTTGCCCGGTTAATATTATATTTATTACAATATTAATTAATTTTGCTTTTTCAAACATTACATTGACTTTACAAACCTGGATTCGACATATAATACTTTACCTTTGTATTTGACTATTATATGTCGACGTGCGACTTTGTACAAAGCCGTAATTCCTAGAAGTTCTGCTGTATTATCCTGTTATTAAAAATTTCATGGTAACTTCTACAAATTGTCAGTCTTTTTACGTGATAATAAAGAATTAACATTTATTCTGAAGATTTACATCTTTTATTCTTTGAGATCATTCATGATTTGAGTTATCGTTTCTTCGTTCATTCACAAATTCCCTACCATATTTCTGCTGTAAATGTTCGTAAGCCTACGGAAATACTACGCTGGTCTTCAAGATGTCTTCCATTCCAATGCAGTCGATGGAATATCCTCGCAATACTGCTGCGATTGACGTGAATTATGGTAGCGGGAGGATTTTTGTAATGTTCCCCGGAAATCCTAACTGAAAATAATATTCTATAATCCGATCTATTCAATTAATGCAGTCCATGAACGCGAATTTCCCTTCCTCCGTCATTGATGAAGCGCCTACGAACGCGACCTTACCTTCCTGCGTCTTGGATGAAGCGCCTGTCATTTTATGTAGATTAAAACAATTTATGTTGTCCAGTTACGAATCTATTCTACACTAATTCCCCACGTACGAAGTCTCTTTTACCTGAAACCGTAAAATCACAAATTACAAGCTAAAAATGATACCCTCAAATAACAAATTGTATGCTACACATAAACAAATCACACCATTTAAGGAAGTTTCCCGTTTCTTAACATCAAAATGTTACCCAGCCTAAGTTTAAAAAATGATTACCATTCACTTCGGTTGCTGCCAAGAAAGAGAGTGACAGCCTAAATAATCGCGGAACCTCGATTTTCAACGCAGTTTTGTCCTTTATTCAACTTATGTCCCGGGGCTAGTCATCCCAAAAGAATATCACGTTCAGATCTTTAAGCACGGAACACGAAGTTTGTTGACATGTTGTTCTGACTACGTGTATTCCTTGGTCTAGACTATTTCTATGCATCTTATTCTAAAGTAATCAAACATTGGATGCTTATTTTCCTCTATTAAATACCTTGGGGGATTTCTGGTATGTCACAGTAATAAGGAAAAATAGCTCACCAATTATACAAAATAATAAATGTTCCTGATCAAGGAGGAGGAGAATAATACGACTTAGTAAATATATTAATTACAAAAATCAATGAAAGGAACTTTGTCAAAATACTTATAAAATGCGAGTCCTTAAAATTTTGGAGGTTTTGAATTCAAATACAATATGGGATGGTTGTATTTTTAAAGATAAAAGAAATTGAAATTGCAACGTCACGTTACATCTGATGTAGTGATTTCTCACATCGATCTAGGCAGACACACATAAATGCACAGTAATCATTGCAATTACTATTCCTTTTTACAGATAAACAAGTTAGTATGTATACATACATTGTCGGGATCACACTGCCGGTTTATGAAACGAGGTTTCGGAAATTCGCGAACTCTCTCATAGCTGGATGTAAAATCTGTTAGTAATAAAATTAAAACAAAATATTTAGAAAGAAAAGGAGCTTGCGTTGTGTGTAAACGTAAATCTTGATGCATACCAGCTCCGTGATGTGCTAATCTAGCTTTATATTAAGATTCTAATTATTTGAAGATATTAGTAAATGCATTTTTCAGCGCTTCATAAACGCAAGTAAGCAAAATTATTACTTAGCAATAAAATCCATGAATGCAAGTTCATATTTGACCCAATAGACCTATGTACAATTCTCGCTTGAAAAATTTTGAAACATAGGAAATTTGAGATCGATAATGAAATAGCGTACTGCTAATGAAATACTAGAACAATATGTATAAGTGTCAATTCAACGAGGTTACCTTAAACACGTGTTCCTTTCTTTCCACTCTCTCTCTCTCTCTCTCTCTCTCTCTCTCTCTCTCTCTCTCTCTCTCTCTCTCTCTCTCTCTTTTGGGCCTAATATGGATTGTTCCTCCATTTCTCACATGGCCTATTCCTCATCAAGTAGATAGTCTCCGATTGTACTGACGAATGTTGTCCGAAGCTGAAACGGATGTAGCGCCAATAGGAGTCGTGTCAAAAATTGTCAAAATATTTTATTTGTGTTTTAAATTGTCATGATGATAAACCTTTGCTGTTATATTCCATTCTGTGAGTGTTAGAAGTATGCCTAAATTAATACCACTGTATATTTTTTAACAATGTTCAAGAAAAGTCTTAAACAAATCTGTTGTAAGAATGTCTTTGAAAATTTCAATGTATTTTGTAGTTGTTAGCGTATTTTATTTTTTCCTCTAATGTCCTAAAAGGTTAAGAACATATTTGATATTTAAGTTATCCGTAAATTTGAATCATTGGGGTACAACAATTGATAAAAAACCTTCAGCCTACAATTATTAATCACATTGAAATAGATTCACAATGTAAGCGTTTTTAGTCATTACGATTACCCTATGGGCGATTTGATCAATCTATTATAGCATGTCCTTCTCACACGCAACCTCAAACCGAAGCATAGTGTGTATTACGTTAAATTATAAAGTATTGAATATTTACAATTCTTTTACATTCAGCTGTAGCATATGCCAAACTGAACAGTCATTAAAGCTAATTAATGAAGATCTTTCATACGCTGACAAAACATACATTGTTTTCATTTGAAAAGACAAGTACACGTGACTTCCGGTATTCGAACATGCCCGTGCAAAAGTTCCATCCCGGGCTCTAGAAGTAACTGCTGAATGCAGAGTGTGGCTCTTCCTAACTGAAAACAACGGTAGCAATTTAGTTGGTACTTGAAAATTTGAATTCAGACGTCTTAAAATACTTGTAAAATTAAATGATTGGACAAATACAATTTGTTTTTCAAAATTACTCCATATTCAACAAAATTATATCTTTAAACAATGAAGGAATTTTATGATGGAAGGATGATGGAATTTCTAAAGATTTTTGAGTTATTTTGAGTCAAATCGTTATATTTTTTCCCAACTATCTACATACGGTTTTCTAAAAAAAAGGTTTTGTGTGAATGGAACAAAATAAGTTATTAAATTTGGTAGAGGTTCAATTCTCATCCTGAAATCTAGCCTCAAATCTTGCTCCTTCTCATCCACAATCCTTGAAATTTATAACCTTTCTAATTAAGACGTTTGCGCTTCCTTTTCTTTAGAGAAGTTTTAAGAAATGACAGTCAATTTTGTACGATAGAATTTGCAATATTATACTTTTATCTAGCTCTCACAGAAGAAGGGAAAGTATATGATATTGAGCAGTACTACTCTGTTACAAATGTATCGGCTTCCCGGCCAACCGGTATGTTGAAACAATTTGTCTTTTTCAGAGAGTACTTAGAACATGTCAAATTCTGACGTTCTAACTCCATAACTAAAATTAAAATGTCACCTTGTTATATATGTTGAGAATACAAAAAAATCTTTCGGATAAGAGTACGATTGTATTAATCGGTAGTCACTGCAAATAACATTTCTATTACTTAGAAACACAATTACTAACATTCCCTTGTAATTACTGAGCCCTATTTGTTCAGGAAAAAATATTTCACTGACTTTTGAATTATTTCCTATGTTAATGTATTAGTGTCTAAATCACTGCTTCCTTATACTTGTATCAAGAAATATTAACAATAATCTGCATGTTTAGGTTTCGGCATTTGACCTTTTCACAAAATACGAGGTTTTTTACGCCGATAAACATTTTAATAGAGAAAATAACTGACCACATCCACAAAATGACAACTACAGCTCAGTCACAACATCTCTATAAACACTGAGCTAGTCATCTCATTGTATTCACTGACCTAGTCATCACACAAATTTTTTGAGGGGCCAGTGCTCAATGGAAAATTTAAAAAGCCACAGTAGATCATGAATTAAGGTATCTGCACTTTACTCCACGTAATCTTTTTTATTGTATGTCCAGAAGAAATATTCCTGATTTTCAAAAATATTCATATTATATATGTACGCAAATAGTTCAGTTTTCGAACTATTCCCAAGAATTCGTTGTGTTTAAACCGAAGAATGACTACAAATGCAATTATTTCTAGATTGATTTCATTTAGAACTATTTTACATTTTCATAGAAATTCCTTCAATGCTTTATTTCACATTTTCATAGCAATTAAAACATTCGTATTAACCTGCACTGTTAGATGTTGAGTTTAAAGGAAATATCGTAATTTTCCTATATTGCAAAGTTGTGGACTACGACAAAGAGAGTTGAAAGCCATTCAGTAAAAGAAGCCAAGGAGGATACCAGGAGGCCGATAGGCCAGACATCGGCTGCCCGTCGCACCTTCAAGAGCCCTTAGTGGGCGCGGGCGAAGACCCTTGGGCGGCCCTCCGTCGGTGGGCGACTGTACACCGCGACCGCCCATCGCCAATCACCCATTGTCCATCGCACATCGTCCTTCGCCCATCGCCCTTCGCCCATCGCCCTTCGCACATCGCCCTTCGCCCTTCGCACATCGCCCATCGCCCATCACCATTCGCTCATCGCCCATCGCCATTCGCTCATCGCCCTTCGCTCATCGCCCATCGCCCATCACTCATCGCTCTTCGCCCTTCGCCCATCGCCCATCGCCCTCGAACACATTGATCGCC